GGCGGCAGCGGACCAAGCGGACCCAGCACATCTTACGGGACACCTGGCGCTTCAGGGCCTTACTAGTCACTCAAAATGCCCATTGAACCCCCGCAGCTCCTCCTCTACCCATAATCGAACCTATGTTTACGCTCCGCGACACGCACGCATTCACGGCTTCAGCCACGGCTTTAGCCACGGCTCAATAGCGATCCTATTGGATGCGACATACTGTGATCCCACGTGGATGACCGCGCTGACGAGCAGGAATGAAATAATCGAGTGGACAATCGATAGTAACACGAGGCTCCTGCTCGCGATTCGGCGTTATATGATTAGTAAGAATAACGCAAAGACGACCACAATTTTGTGGATTACCACAATGGCTAGAATGATGATGATGATGATGACGATGATAATGATGATAATAATGACGACAATCAAGATGATGATGATGATGGTGATTCTAACAAATGTTAGAAACATGATAACCAAGACGACGACGACGACAACGATTAGGATTAAATGTTTTTTTATACGTTACTTTTTGCAAGAAAACGGTGGCGAAATAAAGCTTTTTTTATGTATTTTTACATAAAATTATAGTATTTTTATTTCTTTATCCCTTGAATTTTTATCCATATAAATTAGATTATGATTAGATTTTTTAATGAAATATCATTTCATATTGTCTGATTTTCGTTGATTGAAAATAAATGTCAATCGATTATCAATCAATATGATGTTTTTTACATCATCGATTACATATATGATCGAATGAAATATATATTAAATAAAGTAAATAAAAAAAAAAAGAATAAAAAATGAAACAATATAGAAAACGAGCATTTAACAATCGATAATTGACCAATATTCATTTTTAATCAGATAACAAAAATCAAATAGCAAAAATTAGACAATTTCAAAAAATTCTTGAATTTTAAATTCGATTAAAAAATATTTTAATATAAATCAAGTTGATTATTTGATTATTTTATTATTATTAATTAAAGAATTTAATAATTGTGATAATTGAAAATTTTCATTTTAATTAATTATATGTTCAAATGAATTTTATAATATTTATAAAATTCTCAAATAAAAATTATAATAAAATCTTTTATTTAATTATTTGTTTCTTTATAAAAATAAGTAGTAAATTTTGAATTAATAAATTATTAAATTATAATTTTTTATAAATTTATAATTATAATTTAATTTTATCAAAATCTTAAATTTCACAACAAATTGTGAAATTATCTTTTAAAACAATATCTGATCAATTATTGCAATTATATTTCGATTATAATTTCCTATATGAATTGAAATACTATAAACTTTCAATTTTTACAATTCTATTTATGCTACTTTTCACCTCTTTAAGAGGGCCAGAGAAAGTCGTCTGTGAAATCGTCCTTTGAGAACAAATATACTTTCGTATAAAAATAAAAATATTTATATATAACTATCACTTGCCAAAATAAACTTTTTATATACGAAAAATAAGAGATATTCGCTAAAATGAAACGAAAATATAAAATAGAGTACTATAAATTATATATCTATATGTTAATTTTATATATGATCAAATAAATAGAAAAAAAAAATTATTTCTTATTCTTTATTAAAAATAAAACAAATATTATTTAAATAAAAAATTAAAGAATGAAATTAAGAACTTAAATTGCATAACTGAATTCAATTACTTTTATTTCTATTCTTTTATGTTAATATATATTTAAATATATATTTTTTTATTATCTTGTATATATTTATTTTAGATGTAAAATATAAAAATCTAAATTATATATTCGAAAATTTTTTAAAATAACTATATTTTATATTAATTCTGAAATATATTAAATATATATATGTAATAATATATATATAATAATAATATAATATAATATATATATAATAATATATTAAAAATATTGTTAAATATTTTTTAATATATTATTGAATATGTATTAAATATATTTTTACATATATATATATATTTTTTATACAGTATATAAAAAATAATAAAAACATGCATAGATAATATAAAACTTTTGATCTGTAATATAAATCATTGTTAAACATTCCAAAAGAAAATAACACAAGTGATTTTTTAGATATATAACAATATTCAAGCATTTTATAAATCCAAAAAAAAATCTATGATAATAATAATTTTTTATAAATATTTATTTAGTTAAATATATTTTTCGATTAATAATGTATTTTAAATTAAAGTTATGTTTTATTTTTCTATTAATTGATTTTATCATTTTTCTTTAATGTTTATTATTACATTTTATTAATTTTATAGTTTATTTCATTATTTATAGAAATAATCATATCTTTTTAAAAAAATTCATTGTTTCGTTTTGATAAATTTATAGCATATTCTTACATATTTAAATTATATATTTTTTTCACTTTATTTTTTAAATTATAGTATATATATGTTTTATATTAAATACAATGCTTATTTATTTTTAAAAACTGAAAACAGAAAAATCTATTAAAAATATTAGATAAAAATAAAAAAAAATATTAATTTTTTAATCATAATAAAATAAATATAAATTTAAATTAGAATATTGGAATATTTTTTTATATATAATATTTAAAATAAAATAAAAAAATTTCAATAAAAAAACCAATAAAATTATGATTCATTTATCGTTATATTTATTGTTTACTATTAATTATAAATGACTTAAACATTTTTTATTATTAAGATTAGATAATATTAATATTATTATATTAATTTATTAATTATTCAGTAACATTATAAATTATTATGCAATGATAATTATAATACTCATAATTATAATACTCATAATTATAATGATGCAATTAATGAATTAGAATAAGAAATTAATAACAGTAATTTTACTAGTAACTTGTAGTTATCCAATGACAATGATGATAATAATTATACCTTTTAAGTAACATTGAAAGAAAATGAAATTACATTCTTAATGCAATCTCAGTTTTTATATACATATTATATAAGTTAATATATAAAAGATAATACAAGGAAAATACATATAATAATAAAACGAAGTTTACTATTTTAAATAAATAAAATTTAATTACTATTAAATTATAATTTTAATTATAATAAATTATAATACAATTATACTACAATATAATATTTGTTATATTATAACATATTATAATATAATTAACAAATTTAATATTAAATAATATGCAAATTTTTTTAAAATTAAGTAAAAAATTAAAAATAATAATAAATTAAAAAACATTACTTTGTATATAATTTAAAATTTAAAAATAACAAAAAAATATTTATAAATTTATAAATTTTGAAAATAATATCAAATTAATATTAATTCTTTTAAAAATAAATATTGTCTCTAAAATATTAATGTTATACATTTATTAATATCTATATAGAGTATCATCTAAATCACGATACAATCCATTGAGTAGTGATTTTGAACATATAAATATAAATAAAAAAGTAGAATAAAATTTTTTTATTTAAGATTTCATTTTTAAGTAAATCAAATTTGAAAAATGTTCAAATACAATAATTGGTTAATTCCCAATTGAATACAAATGAACTATTGATAGATAATTACTTTATATTAGAAAATATAAAATAAAATTTTAATAACTTATGTGTTTTCTTTTGAGAAAAGATTAAATATTTATTCTTAAGAAATCA